TCGGAGGCGCAGGCCAAGCTACGGCGGCTGCTCCAGAAATCCGACCTGTACCGCGTCCACTTCCTGTTAGGTGAGGACGACCTCGCCATTCTCTCCATTTAGGAACTTCTCCCACAGGGGTATGGAGGCAGCTGGAAGGCTTTGGCAGGGCTTCTGGGTTTGAGTCTGTCACCAGCAGCCTTCCTGGAGGGCAGAGTGAGGGTCCTTCTGTGCCTGTCCTGTAGAGATGGAAGAGGCCCTTTGACCGAGGACATTTAACGCTGCCCTGGGCCGCTCTGGACATCTGCGTGTCCACCAACCATACCTTCATTCGGACTTCCTGTTCCACTTCAAAGCACCCAATCATAGCTCCTCCTCAAAAATGACAGTCTTTGGTGGCGAGTTTGCCAGCTGGCCCTGTCCCAAGAGACCCACTGATGACTCAGAGCCCCTCGATCCCCGAGCCTGAGGAAGGCAGTACAGCGACCTTGGAGGAGATTCGGGTTTTCACTTTTTTTTTTTTGACAGGTTTTTTGCTATAGGGCGCATGCGCTTGCCGGAAGGGCAGAGAGAGACAGAGAGACAGAAAGCGAGAAATCGCCCCCCAGGAAGGATGGCCATGCCGCAATCCCTTCTCTATTCTCCTCCATTCTCCTCTCGGGATCTTGGGCACGCACACACACACACCTGGCGTGAGTTTAAGCTGCAAGGCCCAGGACTTGAACACCAGTCAACTACATGGGAGTCCAGCGACGTAGCCATTACGCCACGTCCTGGCCCCAGATTCGGGTTTTCAGCTTCTCAGGGCATCAGAGAGGGCCATTTGTGGTTGTCTTTCCCTCAGACTGAATCTTAGGTGCAGGAGAAGCAAAAGAAAACTTTCTGTTTAGCTTTCAGTCTTTCACCTTTTTTCTTTCTCATGAGAGAGAGCCAGGGAGATCGCTATTTCAGCAGGGGCTCTCAGCTGCGATACTCCTGCCTCAGCCTCCCAGCTAGCTCCCGTTACAGGTGCCAGCCTCGTAGGTTGGGCCAAGAAACAAATGGGGCCTCCCAGACAGCTGCAGACTAGCATGGCAGGTTATTTACTTATTTGTTTAATTTATTCATTTGGAGAGGTTTTTGCTGTAGGGTGTGAGCACTCACCAGAAAGACAGAGAGAGACAGAAAGCGAGAAATCACCCCCCAGGGGATGGCCACGCCGCAAGCCCTTCTCCTCTCAGCATCTTGGGCACGCACGCACACACGCACCCAGTGAGTTTAAGCCACCGGGTCCGGGATCTGAACAGTGGTCGATTACATGGGAGTCCAGCGACATAGCCATTCGCCAACTGCTGGTCCCAAGAAGGATTTTTAATAATCCGAACCCGTATTTCTTTCAATGAAACTTGTTTTAAATGTGAATACAGGCTCTCCTAGAATAAAGGGAGGTGGCCGTCTGCATCTGAGGGGACAGGCTACCCACGCTGTGTCAGAAGACGTGGCTGGGAGGATGGGATGGATTTGCTGCTGGGCCCAGAGGGTGGGAATTGTGATGCGTTCATTGGAGACCTGGAGCAGATGCTCAGTGACTCGCTAGGGCCTGTGAGCTCATAGTTCGTTTTATTCCCTAAACACAGAAAATTTCATTATTGCCCCGGCTGCTTGTGTAAGTAGAGACTGCCTTCGGTTTTACTGACGCCCAGACTGGCAGCACGAAGTGAGAGCAAGCCGTCTGTTCTCCACTCGGGTGGCAGCATTCGCTGTGTCGAGGCAGCTGGGTTGGCTTGTCCTTTCTCCTTCTTTCTTTTTTGGGGCAAGATTTTTGCTATAAAGCAAAGAATGTGTGCTTGCAGGAGAGACAGAGAGACAGAAAGTGGGAAATTGTCATCTCCCCCCTCCCCAGGGTTGTCCACACCACATTCCCTTCTCCATCACCCTCTCGGGATCTTGGGCACGCATGCACAGGCGCCTGACAGTGAGTTCCAACCTGCTAGGTCTGGGACTTGAACTGGGGTCAGCCATGTGGGAGTCCAGAGCCTTAACCGCTACGCCACCTGCTGGCCCCACAGTTTTTCCTTTCTGACGGGCGGGTTGCGCTGGACCGGCCTGGCTGGCGCCGAGGTCCTGACCCGCCCCGGTCTCTTTCATCGCGTTCTGTCCCACAGACAGGGTGCAGGGCACCGGCCTGCCCATGGAGCGCGCCATCCTGCACGGCAAGCTGGGAGAGCACGAGAAGGCCCTGAGCATCCTGGTGCACGAACTGGCGGACCCGGCGGCCGCCGAGGACTACTGCCTCTGGGGCTCCGAGGGCCCCGACCTGCCCTGGCGCC